AGGAATAAAAGATGAAAATGTCTGACTTGTAGTTAATTCAGGCTGGAAGCAACAAAAGTAAATTACCATTATTAGTCTTCCCCTGTTTTAACAAAAAGAAACAAAATCAAAGTCTGAGAAACAGGAAATTCTTTAGCTTCAACAATGAGGCTCAATAATTCATCAAACTATCAGCTGTTTCAAGAATTATTTTAATCTGCTGCAGATCGACACTTATTAATACCAACATGATGGTATTACAGAAAAACTGAACAGCAGATCAATTTTTAATTAATTATTTCTCACAGTTTCTACAGGATGGATGTATGATGGATNTTTGTTAATATGGTGGAGCTCGTGTCTGACTCGGTCTTCTTGTGAAATTGGTAAAAACCAAATGAGTCCAAATGTTATCCTTAAACCAAGGAAAGGCGGTTGAATCTCTTTCAGTTTTGTAGATGTTGCGATTGTTTCTGCTTATGTCTCAGTCCCGTCTCCATGGCGATGCCAGAACATCTTACATCTTTACAAGATGGCAGCCGACAGCCAGCAGATTTGTTTTATATTTTTAAATTTAATTCTGAATCGCACTAAATGAGAATCATGATTCTTGTGTGAAACGATGTTGTGGCGCCCCCTGCTGGCCGGACTTGGACCCAGACCTGGAGTCTCGTCCAGGTCTGGGCAGTGATATGGTCTGGTCAGGTGAAAGGTCAAGCTCTGGATCCACTAGATCCCTCAGGCGATTATCAGGAACTGAAGAAGTTCTGAAGAACCATTTGCATCAAAACGTTTCAGGCTCCGGAACCGTTCCCATGGTAACATGGACAGAGCCATGGATCCGGGGACCATGGATCGGTCAGTTCAGAACACATTGCCATGGCAACCTCAACAGACAGTAACCACCTCATCTCGTGTGTTTCTGTAGATTATGGGATGTTACATAAACGGACCAGTTACAGAACCGGGCTGGATCCTCTGGGTCCGGTTGTTTCTTCAGAAGCATGTGACAAACTCGGCAAGGTCAGTCCGGTGATGAAGAGCAGCTCTCTGATGATTAGGCTCCCCCCACATTTGGGCCCAGTGAGAATCGACCCAGGTTGACCTCCCAGCTTTGTTAACTGATGAGGGGACGAGGGTGGGGGCATTAAGGGTCTCTGAGCTGCTGTTTGGAGTCAGTTAACACCCCTCCCCACACACACACACACACACACACACACACACACACACACACACACACAGAGCTCCTGCTGCTCTAAATGCTGTACTGTCCCTTTAAATGACGGCTTGGTGCAGATTACAGGCAAGGGAATAATGTAGCTGCATCAGGCTGATCATCACCCTGCACTCCTCAGTGTGTGTGTGTGTCAGTGTGTGTGTTTAATTGGTATGGTTGCAGTGCAGCTGTCTCCATTCAGCAACTTCAGTTTCACCAAGCTTAGAAACACTCAGACTCCTCAGGAACCCGGTGTCAAGCGGTCTGATGGGTCGGTACCATTCTGACAAGTCGGTACCAGTACAATCAGAGAAACCAGGCCAATGTTTACCTCCATTGTGTTAGTTTGATTGTGTGATGGAGATGCAGTGGAGGATCTTGTCAAGTGATGTCTGCGGTTCTGGTTGGGTCCAGATTGACCTGCCTGGGCTCATCTGGGACAGAGATCCGTTTAAATTCAGAACCAGAAGAGTCCAAACATGTTCAGGTTGTCGTGGTAACAATCAATACAGATTGTGAACTTTATCTGAGACCAGACAGGATGTGCTTCCATCCATCCATTTTCTTCCGCTTCATCCGGGTTTGGGTCGTGGGGTCAGCAGCCTAGACTTCCCTCTCCCCAGCTACTTCTTCCAGCTCCTCAGGGGGAATCCCAAGGCGTTCCCCGCTTGTATCCATGACCTCGTTCTTTCAGCCATGACCCAAAGCTCATGACCATAGATGAGGGTGGGAACGTAGATCCACCGGTAAATCGAGAGCTTTGCTTTTTGACTCAGCTCTCTCTTCACCACGACGGACCGGTACAGCGCCCGCTTCACAGCAGACGCTGCCCCAATCCGCCTGTCGATCTCCCGCTCCCTTCTTCCCTCATTCGTGAACAAGATCCCCAGATACTTAAACTCCTCCACTTGAGGCAGGACGACCCCCATGATCCGGAGAAGGTACTCTACCCTTTTCCGGCTCAAGACCATGGCCTCGGATTTGGAGGCACTAAGCCTCATCCCGGCTGCTTCACACTCAGCCGTGAACCGCTCCACAGCGAGAGCTGCAGATCACGACCTGATGAAGCCAATAGGACCACATCATCCGCAAAAAGCAGAGATGCGATTCTAAGGCCACCAAAACGGATCCCCTCAACACCTCGGCTGCGCCTAGAAATTCTGTCCATGAAGGTAATGAACAGAATCGGTGACAAAGGGCAGCCTTGGCGGAGTCCAACTCTCTCCGGAAACGAGCCCGACTTACTGCCGGCAATGCGGACCAGACTCTGACACCGGTCGTACAAGGACCTGACAGCCCGTATCAAAGGGCCCGGTACCCCATACTCCCGGAGAACCCCCCACAAAGCCCCCCTAGGGACACGGTCAAACGCCTTCTCCAAGTCCACAAAACACATGTAGACCGGTTGGGCGAACTCCCATGCACCCTCCAGGACCCTGCTGAGGGTGTAGAGCTGGTCTAGTTCCCACGACCAAGACGAAAACCACACTGCTCTTCCTGAATCCGAGGTTCGACTATCCGACGGACCCTCCTCTCCAGGACCCCTGAATAGACCTTACCCGGGAGGCTTAAGAGTGTGATCCCCCTGTAATTGAAGCACGCCCTCCGGTCCCCCTTTTTAACAGGGGGACCACCACCCCGGTCTGCCAATCCAGGGGAACTGCCCCCGATATCCATGCGATACTGCAGAGTCGCGTGAGCCAACACAACCCTACATCATCCAGAGCCTTAAGGAACTCCGGGCGGATCTCATCCACCCCCGGGGCCCTGCCACCGAGGAGCTTTTTGACCACCTCGGCGACCTCGTTCTCAAAGATTGGAGAGCCCAACCCAGAGTCCCCAGGCTCAGCTTCCTCAACAGAAGGCATATTGGTGGGATTGAGGAGGTCTTCGAAGTATTCCGCCCACCGGCCCACAATGTCCCGAGTTGCGGTCAGCAGCACACCATCCCCACTATGAACAGGGTTGGTGCTACACTGCTTCCCCCTCCTGAGCCGCCGGATGGTGGACCAGAATCGCCTCGAAGCCGTACGGAAGTCTTTCTCCATGGCCTCTCCAAACTCCTCCCACGCCCGGGTTTTTGCCTCAGCGACCACCCGAGCTGCATGTCGCTTCGCCTGCTGGTACCAATCACCTGCTTCTGGCGTCCCACAGGCCAAAAAGGCACCGACAACCTTGAGGCCGCAGCTCCGATAAGCTGCCTCAACATTGGAGACACGGAACATGGTCCACTCAGACTCAATGTCCCCCACCTCCCCCGAAATGTGTTTGAAGTTTTGCCAGAGATGGCACCGGGGTAAACCCCAACATACAGGCGCCAAGATGGGGGGGCAACAAGTTTGCCCACTCCTGCCCGGTGCCTCTCACCTTGGGCAACTTCAGAGTGGAAGTACGTCCAGCCCCTCTCAAGGAGACTAGAGACTGGTTCCAGAATCAGAGCCATGAGCCAGAACCTCTCAACCTCACACACCGGCTCCTTCCCCACTAGAGAGACGACATTCCACGTCCCAAGATCCAGCTTCTGCAATCGAGGATCGGACCGCCAGGGTCCCCTCCCTTGGCCACTGCCCATCCCACACTATACCCAACCTCTTTAGCCCCTCCCACTGGTAGTGGGCCCATGGGAGGGGGGACTCATGTCTCCTCATCTTGGGTGACCCTATCAGGGTCATGGAGCCCCGACAGCATAGCTCCTACTATCATTGGGACACTGAAACCCCTCCACCACAATAAGGTGGCAGCCCATGGAGTGTGTTGACATGTATGTGTGTTACTGTGTGTGAGCGCTCTGTAATGCAGATTCCAGCTGTGTATTGTCTGTTTGCAGCATCAGATTAACTGCAGAGATTAGTGAATGAAGGAAGGCAGCCTAATCTGTCCTGAGTGTGTGTTATAGGGTGTGTGTGTGTGTGTGTGTGTGTGTGTGTGTGAGAGCAGCTTTAATGGGCATTAAATCACTGGGTGGCCTATTTATCAGTTTCTGCAGAAGAAATAAAATCAGTTCTGCAGTGATCTGATCAGAACCTGCAGGGTTCTGGTTCTGTCTCTGACGGTCAGTCCATTCTGCTGCAGAGTCCAGTCAATGTTCTGACCCAGTTTGACCCAGTTCAGCTTCCTGCTGTTAACATGAAAGGTTCTGTCGCCTGCTGATGCAACACTGAGAAATCTGGAGCTTCCCACCGGACCAGTGTGGACCGGGCAGGGCCGGGCCGTGTCGCTCTGCTGCACACACCTCACCTGGTTCTGTTTGTGGTTATGTTGGCCCATCAGTCCAGCTTAACTGGGTCGGTTCAGAGATGGTCTGTAGAACCGTCAGGACCGGGATCTTTGGATCCGCTGGTTCTGATGAACTTCCTGTCATAGACATAATATAAGATATAACTTTATATCTTATATTATGTCTTTGCTTCCTGCTGCTCTGACATCACACTGATGTTACAGAGAAACGAACCAGAACCCATCAGAACCAGAACCAACCTGCAGCAGCTGCAGCCTTATTAGAGCAGCGTCTTGGTTGTCATAGTGATTGATGAGCCTGCACTAATGAGCCAACAGGAAGTGATTCATGGCGTGACCTCACAGGCGACCTCCAAGGCAGATGGAGACCGGACCGAATCAGACCGGACCGGGCTGAACCAGAACCCTTCATGACCTGCTGACAGTTGTCCAATCGGATCAGAGGTTCTGAAGTTCTGATGCGACCCAACAAATCGGCGCATCGGATCAAGAGTGGACTCCAGCCTGGTCCGGGCTGCAGTTTGGTTCTGGTTCTGTTTGTAGACTCTGTGTTTGTCTCAGGTCCGGTCTGGAACAGGAAGTGATGCGTGTCTCTGTGTCCCTGCAGGAAGTGCCCCTGATGACGAAGGCTCCTCCTCCTCCTCAGGTCTCCTCATCTCAGCAGGTGGGTGGTTACCGCGGCAACACGTGATGTCATTACGGCGAACATTTTGGTTCCTCTGACCCGGTCTGCTGGTTCTGGACTCCGACTGGTTTTGTTTACCGGAACATCAGGTTGTCTCTAAAGCTGCTGCAACTGGATCAACCAGAACCGACCCAGACTGACCAGAACAGAACCGGAGCTGTTCACCTGGCTGCCAAGTTCTGACTGACCAGAACCTTTAAGCTCAGCTTCCTGGTTCTGATCCAGAGTTTGTTTTCAAGTTTTTGGCCCCAGATGAGGGAATCCGACCAGAACCAGAACCAGCAGCTGGTTTCCAGATCTTCTCTCCGTCAGACCATGTGACCTGCAGCCTGGTTCTGATTGGCTGCTGGGCCATCAGATGCAGCTGGTTCTGATCCAGACAGATGACTTTAATAAAGCTCAATTAACCGAGGGCTTGGTGTCCCTCCTGGGCCGCCGTAGTTCCTCAGCAGCAGCAGAGCGACCAACGGAGCTGCTTGATTGGACGTTCCCGTTTCCTCCCCAATTACTGAGCGTCACCTTTAACCCCCAACACACACCCTCCCCCACATCAACACCGCACCTCAACGAGCCGTTCACGCTCCGCAGAGCCCCGACACACACACGCACACACATAGGAACACACACACACACACACACATAGGAACACACTCAGAGGAACACACTCAGGAGAACACACATGCACAGAAACACACACTCCACAGCCTCTTCACTCGTCCTTCAGCCTTTGTTTCCCCCAAATACCTGACACACACTCAGACCACACCCACCCATCCCATAACATCCGGTTAAAACTTAATGTAACATGTCATTTATAATTATAAGATAATTTACTGTAACATCATGATATAATTTAATATAACATAATAGAATGTAATTCTAATTTTATGCACAGAAATTTTCCCATTTTGAGAAAATAAAGGATTTTTTTTCTTCTTCGCCGTTTCTGGTTCTGGTCCAGTTGGTGGGTAGTGGGCCAGTTCTGCAAGGATCCGGACCCAGTTGCAGCTGGACTCCTGTAGGTGGCGCCAGCAGGCTGAAAGTGCTGATTTCAGATGGGAAATGCATGCATCAGTAGATTGTTTCCAACACATATCAAAGTATCGCAGTAGAAACTGTTGATGAAAACAGGAAACTGAACTGTTTTTCTGAAAAAGAGTCACTGCGCTAAAGGGGAGAAACATTTATGGAATAAGTTCTGACGTAGTGAACGCCACCATCCACTGGAGGCTCTGTGCCTTACCAGAGGCACCAAACACGGAGGAGGACTCTCTGGTGGCCATGCTAGCTAGCCACCAGCTAGCCACCTCTACTTCCTGTTTATTACATCTGATGAAGTTTTGCTTGCCTGGCTGATTCTCTCCAAACCTGTTGATGGAAACATGGTAATTCGCATTTTATCTTTTACGTTTTAAAAGTTTGCATGACAGTTGGAAACAGTTGCCAGAGGACACTAGCGCAGTTAAATGGTACGTCACCATGACAACTTGGGCCCGGATTGGGCATGGTCTCCATGAACGAAGCTGATTGGCTGTTGATGATGATGCTGATTGGCTGTTCCGGGAACCAATCATGTGACTGAAGTCATGTTACTTGTTTCAGTTGCAGTGCTGAAGGAGATTCTCCACCTGCAGAAACAAAGATGGCCGACAGAGACGCTACATTGAGTCCAGAGCTCATCGTGGAGTTGGGGTGGGGAGGCAGCTGCGTGTATGTGTGTGTGTGTGCGTGGCCCCAACTCTCTGCAGACTGAATTTAAATGCGACGTTTCGGCCACTAATGCAGAAATCTGCAATCGCCTCATGGACGCCAGCTGCTGCGTCCTCAGCTGTCCTGCTGTGTCTGTGACTGAGACGCTCCAGGCCCAAACCCAGTTCTGGTTCTGATCCGGAACAGGATCAGGACTCTGGGTCAGGGTGGTTGGGACCCTGTGTATGTGTGTGTGAGAGAGAGAGTGTGATAAATATTGCATGAGGCTCCTGATGCGATGTGGACAAACACTCCCAGCTGAGCTCACACACACACACACACACACACACACACACACACACACACACACACGATTTACCGGCAGTGTGTGTGACAGATAAGATGACTAAACACACACACACTCTCTTCACGTCACATTAAACATTCGGCAGTTACCGTGACAACCTGAACACTTACCTGCTGGGACCTGTCAGATGTGAACCAATCAGATGGCAGAACCGACTGGAGCCAGACGGGGGAACGGAACCAGAACCAGGACAGATGTTCAGGTGAGGGGGTGGAGCCTGAACAGAACCTCAGAACCCAGGTTCAGTCAGACAGACAGAACCAGCAGAACCATGAGCAGGTTCTGAATTTCTGCATGAGTTGGACCTGGTTCTAATTGGTTTAGACTGGTTCTACTGGATCAGAACTGGTTCTACTGGTTTTACTGGTTGGAGCAGCTGGACCAGTCCGAGGGTGTGGTCGCTGATCTCCCCCCTCTCCTTTTAAATAATAATGAGTTGGCCCCGCCCCTCGCCGCTAAGCCCCGCCCCCTCTGCCTCCCAGAACAATGACAGCTGCTCGCACGCCCTCTCCCTCTCTCTCTCGGTCTCAGTCTGTTGTTGGAATGAAAACTCGTCAGAGGTGAGTCTCTCTCTCTGTGTGTGAATGTCTCTCGCTCTGATTGATCGGACTGACAACCGCCTCGTTAACGAGCTTCTGAGGTAATTAGTGACTCTGTGGGCTTTTAATCTGAAAGGTTGTGGAGCATCCAGCCAGCCTGTTAGAGAGGAAGAACAGAACCAGGGATGTTCCTGTTGGACCTCTCTGTGCTTCAGTTTGTGCCATGTGGAACTGCTTTTATTTTGAAAGGTCAGCTTCAGCTCTCAGTGTTCTGCTGGTTCTGGTGGTTCTTTGGTTCTGCTGCAGAGACGAAGCAGAAGCAGCAACAGGAAGTTGTCATGCTGGTCTCCAGGAAGTGTTTCCTGGAGGAAACCGAGACGCTGTCTAGGTGTAAAGTTGATGACTTACTCGACTTACTTGATTAGTCTGGACTGGGACCTGATCCGGTCCAGGACCGGGTTCTGACAGCAGCAGAACTTCCTGGTTCTGTTCAGCTTTTTTTTACAAACATCGGAACGAGTTTACTGAGCAGAACGTCTTTGTTTCAGTTCAGGGGGAAAACGACAGAGAATGTTTCTGTTGTTTTGTGGTTGTCATGGTGACGGGTTAAACAAAGTAAAAACATTTTCATAAAAGTTACAAAGTGGAGCTGGATCTAACCAGGACTTGGACTAGGACCTGGACCGGTTCCTCCGCTCCTTCAGGGCTGACAGTACAGAGTTCTGGTCCACATGGTTCTGGTTCTGGATGGAGTCCAGAGTTCTCTGTGTTTTATGGTCTGATAATCTTCCTCGGTTCTGAGCCTCTTCCTCCACCGGGTCGGTTCTGGTTCTTCTCCAGTAGGAGAACCTTGATGTAGTGGAACCAACAGGACCTCCAGAACGTTTCTACGCTCGTGTTGCTGCTGGTGTGGGCGGGGCTTATGGTTAAACGGCAGGTGTGGGCGGGGCTTATGGTTAAACCGCAGGTGTGGGTGCGGGTTTGAAGGCTCCTCCTCTTGCTCTCGTTAACGTTCTGCAGACAGAGAACCAGAATCGTTCTCAGGATTCTCCTCTGGTCCATCTTCAAAATTTTGGACCCAGATCTTGGACCTGGTTCTGGGATTAGCGCCGTTTTGTGGTTTTGCTGCAGCATTTCCCTTCGACTCCTTGCTGTGTTTGTTGCCATGACAACCACTCGAGAAGCATCATGGGATGGGATGCGGGTGCAGCAGCAGAACAGGTTCAGGTGAGCTTCTGAGCGGTCAGAGGTCAAACTCCTGGAGACACCTAGGGCCTGCAGGGGGCGCCAGAGGCTCCAGGGAAACGGGGAAACTGTGCCGGAGCCGGGTGATGAAAGACGAGGCGGCGCAGATCACACACACACACACACACACAAAGAGAGAGACACAGTCAGAGTGATGGAATCAGCATCAATGTTATTAACGACCATCAACCTTTCTGCTCTGATCACACTCTGACTGTGTGTGTTTCTCTCTGTGTGTGTGTGTGTGCGTTTGTGTGTGTGTGTGTGTGTGTGTGTAGTATCAAAGTCTTGTAGTTATTAATATTTCATGTCTGCAGTGATCAGTATTCAGTCTGTGGAGCTTCAGAGCCGCAGCAGCTGCAGAGAACTGAACTGAACCAGGGAGGTTCTGGTCCTGTTGGTCCAGAACCAGAACACTCCTCCACAAAATCCAGGGACCGGTTCTGTTCCTCTTTAAGAACCGTCTGACTGAGTCCAGCTCCAGAGGTTCTGAGGTTCCACATCAGCATGAAAGTTTCTATCAGGAGATCTGGTTCTGACCCAGTTCTGACCTGGTGAGTCCAGAACAGGAGCTAGAAAACGGGTCGGTCTGGTTAGAATCACCAGTCTCTGCAGGAAATGGACCGGACCAGAACCTTCAGCCTCTCTGAGAGGTTCTGGTGTTTATCCTGCCGGGTCCTGAGGTCCAATCCAGAAACACTCGATGGTTCCTAGTTCAAACCAGAACCAGAACCTGAGCCCAGCAGGTGGGACCGCAGTCTGATCCAACTGGAACCTTTTATCCGGTTCGCTCCAGAACCGCCCTCCCTGCCCAACCGGGTCGTCTTCAGACGGCTCATTGTGCTCCTGCTGGAGCGATCGGCGTCACCACGGCAACAAATTAACTTCCTGTTGGGACCCTGATGACGGCGCCGCGTCGATCTGAAGACATTTAGAAAAACGACTTTTCCTTCTGTGACGGAAATCCTGCTGAGCGTTAACGTGTTTATATCAAACAGCCAGAACACACACACACACACACACACACACAGAGAAACACACACACACACACACACAGAGACACAGAGAAACACACACACACACACAGAGACACACACACACACACACAGAGACACAGAGACGTGTGTGAAACAACAAAGATGAAGACAAAGAAAACAAAACTTGTGGGTGGAGAACTGATGGAGTATTGATATGTTATTGATAGATTACTGTATGGTGAATGTTTTGCCTCCTCACTGCTTGAACTGGACCTGTTGCTGGGATTTGGGTCGTTCTGATCCAGAACCAGAGGGAACTGGATCAGAACCCCCTGGTTCTGGATCTTCTCTGGTTCCTCCAGCAGCTCAGACCATCACACCACCACCACTGTGTAGCTAGTTTCAGTCCGGGTTGAACCAGACCAGAACCCTCCATAGCGGTCCACTGCTGCTTCCTCAGAACCTTGTCTTGGCAGTCGTCCTGACGGGTCTTTGAGTTCTTTTGGGTCAGCAGTGGTTCTGCTATAACTGTTATAACTCGGATACTACAGCAAGTTTTTGCCCATTTGGAACACAAATAAATCTGAATCTGTGTTCCATGGAAGCCATTTCTGGTTGAGTGGTTCTGGTTCTGGTCCAGGTGTGTATCAGTTTACCCAGGCTGATCATTTATCTGAAATAATTTTTAATAACCCAGTCGCTGTGTTTCCATTGGCCGCATAAATGCACAATTTGACATTTGAAAATGAATTTGCTAAATGGAAAATACACCGATCCTTTTAGCTGGGTCGGGTTCTGAGGTTCTGCAGAGATCTAGTCGGTTATGGTTTGAAGCCAGTTCCAGGGGGAAAACGACCCACAACTGATCCAGAACCGGTTCCGGAGCAGGTCCAGAACCGGTTCTGGATCAGCAGCAGCAGCAGCGGAGCGGCTCTGACTGAAAGTAGGACGAGAAGCAGCGCAGAGGGAGGGAGCGCCGCGAGGGAAGGACAGGAAATGAACAAAGAAAATGAAGAGCAGAGGAACACACTCCGCAGCAGCTCCACGGCCTGCGCGCGCACGCGTGTGTCTGTGTGGGTGTGTGTGTGTGTGAGAGTTTGTGCTTCTGCTCTTTGAAGACAGAGTGAGCGAGTCGGCAGAAAACCACAGAGATAATATGTGGGTGGAGGTGGAGGTGCGTGTGAGTGTGTGTGTGTGTGTGTGTGTGTGTGCCTGCCTGAGGTGAAGCAGCCTGTAATCATCACCTCTCTGTGATGAAAGCAGCCGTCGCTCATTAGCATACAGGGGGGGCTGAAACAAAAGCTGAGTTTAGAACAAACTGCTGCGATTAGCAGAGTAAACCGCTTTGCTGCAGCATCCAGCGTTACCATGGCAACCAGAAGCACCTGGAGCTGCAGTTCCTCTGGGTCTCTGCTGCTGGTTCTGGTTCCACCACTTCCAGAGGTTCTCGATGGTTCCCTGGGTTTGGTTCTGGTTATATCCGGGTTGGGCTGTCTGGAGGTTCTGGACTGGTTCTGGTTCTGTTGCAGGTTCCAGTTCTGCAAAAGAGAAAAGATGATTGAACATTCTGGAGGAACTTTAGGATGCAGCTTCTGGTTCTGAAGGAAAGTCTGTTTGGACCTGTTTGCAGTTGGACTCCAGGCTCAGTTACTGTCGGGTCAGGAACCGGCAGAGAACCCACCTGGGATTACAACCAGCAACATTCGTCCCAGAGAACTGGGTCTGTTCTCCTGAGAAGCTGGAGGATCAGAACCGGGTTCCCTCAGGTGTCTCAGGTTCCCTCAAGTGTCTCAGGTTCCCTCAGGTGTCTCCAGGTTCCCTCAGGTGTCTCAGGTTCCCTCAGGTGTCTCAGGTTCCCTCAAGGGTCTCAGGTTCCCTCAGGTGTCTCAGGTTCCCTCAAGTGTCTCAGGTGTCTCCAGGTTCCCTCAGGTGTCTCCAGGTTCCCTCAAGTGTCTCAGGTTCCCTCAAGTGTCTCAGGTTCCCTCAGGTGTCTCCAGGTTCCCTCAAGTGTCTCAGGTGTCTCCAGGTTCCCTCAAGTGTCTCAGGTTCCCTCAGGTGTCTCCAGGTTCCCTCAAGTGTCTCAGGTTCCCTCAGGTATCTCAGGTTCCCTCAGGTCTCTTCAGGTTCCCTCAGGTGTCTCCAGGTTCCCTCAGGTATCTCAGGTTCCCTCAGGTGTCTCAGGTTCCCTCAGGCGTCTCCAGGTGCGTTTAGAATGTTGCAGCCTTCCAGATTTTTGCCTCTCTGGGTTTTTAGAAGAGAAAGTCCAGCTTCCTTTCTCTTCCTCCTTTTTGCCCTCCTCTTCCTCCTCCGCCTTCCTCCTCTTCCTCTCGTTCCTCCGTTTGTTTCCCTTCATGAATTATGGATGACTGTGAATCTGCAGGATTTCCATGGAAATGTGGAAAATATGTGAGTTTTTCCTCGAGGTTCTGATGATCCAGTTAGACCCACCAGAACCGGGACAGCAGCTGCAGCCGCTCCAACCGGGTCAGAGTTTCTACTGACCCCCAAACATTTCCGCTGCTGTTTCCCAACACCTTGAGTGGCGCCACCTACAGGGTGAAACCCAGATCCAGGTTCTGGTCCCAGTCGGAACTTTGCAGCTGGTTCTGATCCGGTTAACGGTTCTAGTTCTGGAGGAACACTGGAACCAGTTTCATCCAGTTTAGCGCCTGGCTCTGAGTCCCATAACATCCCTGTTTGAAGCGTTGCTGTGGAAACAGGGGCGGTTGCCATGGCGACGAGGCTGCAGTCAGACGGAGAAGCGAGTGAAGGAGCCGCAGGGCTCAGCCTCACCTGCTCAGGTGGATCTCCTCATGTCCTATCAGAGGCGTGAAACATCGCTGCGGCATCACGGTTCTGATCGGGTTCTGGTTGGGTTCTAACTGGGTTCTGGACGAGCTCTGGTCAGGTTCTGCAGAGACGCTCAGACTCTGTGGGCTGAACCGGTCCGGCTTCAGAACAGAACTGCTGGTTTAACAGCCAGAACCAGAATACAGACTAATCTGCAGGAGGGATCAGAATCAGAACCAGTTTGGATCCGTATGGTCAGCTGGTTCAGTGATCGGATAAGTTGAAGAAAACTCCGGTTACTGGTTGTCACTGACATGGTTCTGATGGTTCTGTTGGGTCAGAAATTCAGTCCTGGTTCCTGAGGCTTGGTCTCGGCCTGCTGATGGCTCCGTCTTGTTTCTAAGGTAACCACGGTGTCCTTAAAGCAACACTAACGCTGTGAAAGATTGACTCCGCCCCCAAAGACACTGAGAACGAACCGACATTTGAACAACAGATGATGATGATGATGGGAGATTTTTCTGCCATAACTGGAGAGCACACACTGTCCGTCTGAAAGCAGGACTTCATGTTTTCCTTCTCAAAACTTGTGATGCTTGAACTCAAAACTTCTGCTCTCAAATATTCACTCTGCTCTCTCAAACCTTTCTGCTCGCACTCAAAACTCGTCTCTCTGCTCGGATCAAATCTCCACTTGCAAACCTCTCTGCTGGCTTACGAATCATTTTCTGCTTGCACTTGGAACAGAAAAGTACCGTCACCTGGCAACCTCTCAGCCAGTAGAATGCAAATGTTGTCCGGGTGCGTTTATTTCCTTCTAGTGGGTGAGCCAGCGCTCTCTCCCTCCCCAGTAGCTAATAGCCGCTTTCGCTGGTCACTCAGGACAGACAGGCTGCAGTCCGGCTGCAGAGCACAACCTCTCAGCTATTGGCTGGTGAAGGTACTTTTCTGTACCAAGCGTGAGCACAAAATGCTTTGCAAGCGAGCAGAGACAAGTTTTGAGCGCGAGGAGAAAGGTTTGAGAGAGCAGAATGAATATTTAAAGAGAGCAGAAGTTTGGAGTTAAAGCATTACAAGTTTAAGCATGAAGTCCTGCTTTCAGACCGACAGTGTGTGCTCTCCAGTTATGGCAGAAAAATGACCCCATAGATGACGTCCAGCCTTCCTCATGGTGTCTCCTGTTCTCACCTGTTGCAGGTAAAGAGGAGCTGCCATGTTGGCCTCCTCCATTTCTTCCTCAGTCCTCCTCTTCCTCCTCCTCCTCCTCCTCCTCCCTCCTGCCTACCCTGCAGACGCCTCCATGCAATGGGTGAAGCTGGAGGGCTCCCCCCTCTCCCACCTGCTGCTGGACCCGAGGGCGGGGCAGCTGTTTGTTGGCGGAGTCGACCACCTGTATCAGCTGACCTCTGACCTGGAGGTGATGTCACATGTTAAAACCGGCCCTCTCCTGGACTCTCCGGACTGCCTCCCACCAATCGTTGCTCAGGACTGCCCCTCGGCCACGCCCACTCACAACCATAACAAGCTGCTGCTTCTGGAGGCGGGGGCGGAGCCAGGGCCGGGGGCGGAGCCAGGGCCGGGGGCGGAGCCAGGAAGCCTGATTGTCTGTGGTTCACTGTTCCAAGGAACCTGTGAGAAGCGGTGAGTCCCAGTCTGGTTCTGGTCCTGGTTCTGGTTCCACTCTGGTCAGAATGAGCAGTTGAGTGTCCAGATCAGTGTGTTGACCTCTGACCCCAGCCTGGTCTCATGTCTCTGCAGGAGTCTGTCCAACATCTCTCAGCTCATCTATCGGACCTCCAACCCCGTTGACACTCAGTATGTCGCTGCCAATGACCCTCGGATTTCCACCGTCGCCGTGGTGATAACCACCCGGAGCAAACAGGAAGCGGGCATGCCCGGTGGCGAGCTGCGCCTCCTGATGGTCGGTCGAGGCTACACCAGCCGGGGTCCTGGGGACATCCCACCAATCACAACGCGGCGCCTGCACCCGGTGGCTCCGCCCCGCAGAGCCTTCTCCCAGGAGGAGGAGCTCGGAAAACTCGTCGTGGGAAGTTACTCTGAATACAACAACCACTTTGTGAAGGCTGTCGCCCATGGCGACCACGTCTACTTCCTGTTCTCACGGCGGGACATGAGGCACACGAAGGAGTACAGGACCTACGCCTCGCGGCTCTGCTCCTCCGACCGCAGCTTCTACTCCTACGTGGAGGTGCCGCTGCTGTGCCGCGGCGGCTACAACCTGGCTCAGGGGGCGTGGCTAGGAGACCTGTCAGGTACACCGGCGCTGTTTGTCGTCATGGCAGCAGGGCAGGCGTCCACGCCCATAGCAACGAGCCGCTCGGCGCTCTGTGTTTATACGATGAAGGACCTGGACGCCACGATGCGGCGGGCGCAGGAAGTGTGCTACACGGAGGGAGGACTTGATAGTAGTGGACAGGAAGAGGCCTACATCGAGTACGCCGTGTCATCCAAGTGTCTGAAACTCCCGAAGGTAAAAGCACCGCTTCCCCTGGTGGTGAGACTTGAAAAATCTTTTATTACAGTCTTCATAAACCTGTTTCCTAAAACCTGTTTCAAAGCTGAAACCAAAAACCGGCAGTGGGGAAACTTATGCTAATAGCAGAGCTAGTTTTTAGTTTAGGGTTAGCTTTTCCTGAATTAGTTTTTCTGGATAAACTCTAAAGCGCTAGTTCGCGGCAGTTTCATGAACTTTCATGTGAATAAAATTCAACGTCTGTGTTGAGGTTTTGGTTATCAACACTTAAGAATTTTCCAAGACATTTATATTCATGCTCTTATTTTGAAGCAGTTCCGTTTCCTCTCCACCCGTTCTATACCCAGGATGCATCTGTTATACAGTGAACAGTTTAAAATCTACCTATGTCCTACATCCTTTCTGACTGAGTGTCAGAAAGCATCAGTTTGGCAAAATCAGCAGAAGAAGTATAAGACTGAAAACACAAGTGAAGCGTCTGTTCCAAAGGATCATGGGAGAAAAGTCTTGTGGTCTTCAGCCAAAGACTAGAGAGAAATCCTCCAACACTAAAATCTGACGCCTCCATCTTGTTTCCATCTGGTGAAGGAAGTTGCTCTCAGTGTCTTCAGAGGTTTTTGTGTCGTTTCCTTCAGTGGTTCTTGGTGCAGCGCCCCCACAGGCCAGGAGGGGAACAGGTTGGTTTGACTCAGAACCACAGCAGCTGGAGGTGGAGCAGATGATGGAGTTCTGGGTCCAGTAGAACCGGGTCGACTGGACCATCAGGAGGGAAACAGCCTAAAGATCATTCAGTCTCCTCCTCCTGGTTCCTCCGTTAGATTGCCCCTCCCATGTTAGCGCCGCCTCTTGGTCCCATGAGCCTGGATCTGTCAGCCCTCCTGCTGCTCTGCTGGGGGCGAAACTGCAGACTGAGGGAAGCTGGTGGCCTGGGGATCATCTGCAGCAGCTGCACGGATCATCAGACAGCTGCAGGCCAATCTGACCCAAATACAGCACAGAGTGTGTGTGTGTGTGTGTGTGTGTGTGTGTGTGTGTGTGTGTGTGTGTGTGCGCACATCAACATGTAAACATCATGTTGTGCCTCTCTCCTGTGAAGGAGTCTCTCTCTGACTACCCCTGTGGGGGGGAACACACCCCCAACCCCATCGCCAGCGCCGTTCCCCTGGGAGTCCCGCCCACCGTCACGCTGAACACCCAGCTGACCTCCGTTACCGCGGCAACAGAGGCTGGACACACCATCGCCTTCCTGGGAGATCGAGACGGACGTCTGCACAAGGTGAACACACACGGGGTGGCGCTGTAGACCCAGAGTCAGCCGATCAGGTGACCCCAGAGGTCATCGTGAGGTTCTTCAGGACTGCAGAACCGTTCCCCCAGGACTGCAGAACCGTTCCCCCAACCGTTCCAGCTGGGGGAACGGTTGGGGGAACGGTTGCAGCTCTTTTGCTGCCTCTGTGGTTCGGTGGGGCCTGGAGGTTAGGCGCTGGGAATCTTCTATACGGTACGGCTGAAATGTCGAGACAGACAGGAGGATGGAACACGATGTTCGTGCGGCTGAAGCACACACACACACACACACACACACACACACACACACACACACACACACACACACACACACACACACACACACCTACAAACACAACCACACACACACACAACCACACACACACCATGCAGGCGGCTTTGTAACCTCCGTGTGTGTGTGTGTGGTTGTGTTTGTAGATGTGTGTGTGTGTGTGGCTGTGTGTGTGTGTGTGTGTGTGTGTGGTTGTGTTTGTAGATGTGTGTGTGTGTGTGTGGTTGTGTTTGTAGGTGTGTGTGTGTGTGTGTGTGTGTGTGGTGAACAGGTGTTTAGCTTGGGGGCGGGCTCTGGGAGCATTCTCAGGCTTAAATTGCTGATTGGTTATTGCTGTCCCAGGTGGATTGTGGGTAATGATGTTGCAGGACGACCCTGAAGGGTGTGTTAATGAGCGCTCGGCTTTGATTCAGCGTGTTAATATTTAATCACACACACACACACACACACACACACACACACTGCTGCTCGGTCTCCATCACTGATTCGTAACAGAAACTCCTGGTGACTCCTCGTTCCCCCGCTCATGCTTCACATCCGGTGGATGTCGTTGTCATGGCAACCTGTATTGTTTAATGAGGTGAGCTCCAAGAACCAAAAGCGGTCCTGGATCTGGAACGAAGGGATCCAGTCGGTCCAGAATCCAGGGGGCTGTGACATCACAGCGCCGCAGGCAGAGAGTGGGACACAGAAAGGACAAGAGAAGAAGAAAGTTTGATCGTTAGATTTTCTGTTCTGGTCAAACTTTGACTTTTTTTTAGATGAATTACTTTCTTTAAAAGTTTTTCCAGGTCACCTGTGAGCAGGTAGACAGTTCTGTTTGGGACTAACGTCTCACCTGTCCTGCAGGTGTTGGTGCGTCCTGATAGGTCTGGCCATCTGTACGGCAGCCTGTTGGTGGACGGGGGCGGAGCCATCTGTGCCGACCTCCTATTGGACGAGAGCCAGCATCACGTTTATGTTTTAACCGACGACCGGGTGAGAGACGCGCGTCAGTCCCGCTGTCCCTCTCCTGTCCCCGTTCCCCTGTCTGTCCAGTCAGGACATCTGCTTCCTGTCTTTGTCTAGGTGTCCAAGGTTCCCGTGTCGTCCTGCGAGAGACAGACAGACTGTCTGTCCTGTCTGTCCATCAGAGACCCGTACTGCGGTTGGTGTGTCCTGGAGGGACGGTAAACCTCTCTCACCTGTCCATCACCTGTACTGTCCTTCAGGGTCCTTTGCAGTCCTCTATCTCCATCTGATGGACATCAGGGGAACTGCAGACATGTGTCCTTTGTCTCTGCGGTGTCCAGGTGTTCCCGTAAACATGAGTGTGAGCGCCACCTGCTGGAGAACCACTGGCTGTGGAGTATTGAACAGACCAATCAGTGTGTCACGGTGCAGAGCCTGCAGCCGGCCAATCAGAGCAGAGATGAGCAGACCCAGGTGAGATGGACCGACTGGGAGCTGATTGAGCCGGATTCTGGTTCTGGTTCTTCACCTCGTCCTCTCTTTGTGTCCTAGGTAACCATGTCAGTCGTCCAGCTGCCTGTCCTCCAGGGGGCGGAGTCTCTGTCCTGCGTCTTCGGGAGCCTGCCACCCCAGCCGGCTGTTGTCATGGGAACAGAACTCACCTGCCAGTCACCTGCGCCGGAGCTCCTCCCCCCCATGCCGCCCGGAAGTGGTGAGCGAAGGTCGCCTGCAGAGAGTTCCCCGATGCTCCGACCTGCTGCTGAATGACCTCTGACCCCACAGATCACATGGTCCTGCCCGTGTCTCTGATGTTTGGTCACGTGACCGTCGCCATGGGAAACATGACCTTCTACGACTGCGGAGCCGTCAGCCGACTGAACCAGAGTTCCCAGTAAGAGTCCAGTAGCTGCCACAGCAGGAGAGGAAGATGATATGATGAAAATGATGATGGTGATGGTGATGATGAAGGAGATGATGATGATGATGATGGGGATGATGAAGGTGTCTCTGTATCTCAGGTGTCTTTCCTGCGTCGGCTCCTTCTGGACCTGTAACTGGTGTCCTCTGGATCAGATCTGCACCCACAACCACAGCTGCCCCAGGAAGCTGGTCCTCAGCCACAACGTGAGACACCTGTCCGTCCACCTGTCTGTCCTCCTGTCCGTCCTCCTATCTGTCCACCTGACTGTCCTCGTCTCTCTCCAGGACCCTCCTGGTCCCGCTTCCTGTCCTCTGGTCTCGTCTCTGAGAGGTTCTTCTTTAGTGCCCATGGGCCTCAGCACCACTATAGTTCTGGAGGGGCGGAACCTGGACGTCTACCAGGTGAGCCCGTTTAAAACCTTCAGGTCCAAACTGATCAGAACCCGCTCAGCCCCACAGCAGATCCGGTCTCTAAGGTCCGGTTCAGGTTCTGTAGGAAATGTCAGGTCCAATCTCCATGGAAACCAGGACACTGATGTGATTGGCTGGTGGTTGATTAACGGAGCGTTGGCTTGTCAGTTAGCTTGCAGATGTTCCTCAGGTGTGTCTCAGGTGTCTGAAGTTTCTTTTTGTCCTGCCCGTCCAGGACGAAGCTCAGTACGTTTGTGTTGTTGAAGTTGAAGACGTGCAGCTGGACCTGACGGCTGCTGTGAGGAAAACTGAGGACAACACACACATCTTCACCTGCAGCCCCCACCAGGTAACACACACACACCTGCAGAGCCTTCCCTCAGTTCAGGTTCCTGAAGCTGCGGTTTGTCCTCAGTTTCAGTATCGCCTCAGCCAGCTGCAGTATTCTGCTGCCATCTACCTGCGCAGAGGACAGAGACGCATTGATGCATCACCTGGACTCAGACGTAAGGAACTCACCTGTTGACCCAGTAGAACCAGAACAGATTTTTACAGGTTTTCAGTCATGATCCCTTTCAGATTATTGGACCTTTAGGTTCTGGTTCCGTCAGTATCGGACCTGACGGATGTTGGTCATTTTCTCTTCAGTCCACCTGTATGACTGCTCAGCCGGCCAATCAGATTGCTCGCAGTGCCGGGCGGTGCCTGAGGAGTACAGCTGTGTGTGGTGTCTTGGAAGCCCCGCCCCCAGATGTGTTTACAGCCAATCATGCTCCGGCTTACCCGCAGACACCTGTCCGACGCCTCAGATCACACAGGTGAGTCCTCCCACCGGGCGTGGGTCCGCAGAAGTCTTGTTGCCATGGAAACGTGTCACCGGTCTGTCTGCAGGTGCATCCTGTGACTGGACCCGTGGAGGGTGGAATCCTGGTAACAATCACAGGATCCAACCTGGGCACCAGGTACCAGGACGTGGTGGGCGGAGTCAAGGTGGCAGACGTCCCATGTGTGGCTCAGCCTGAAGGATACCAGATCTCCACCAGGTAGACTCACCTGACTGGTCCTCAGTTAACACCTGGCTGCTCACTGCTCCACCTGTCTTTACCTGCCTGCTCACCTGTGTTAGGGTCGTGTGTGAGCTGCAGAGCAGTGGGAGTTACCGGGTCGGGAATGTCCAGGTTACCGTGGGAACCACTCCACCTGGCCGATCAACCCAGATGTTCACCTATCAGGTGAGACGGCAGGCCTGCTGAGGTTCTGTTGAGCCGGTTCTGACCTCAGGCCCGCGGACCAAAGTTCTGCTGTTCTGGTCTCTCCCCAGAACCCTAAGCTGACCAGCCTGGTTCCAGATAAAGGCCCGGTTTCTGGAGGAACCAAGCTGACCATCAAAGGCCAACAGCTGCTGACCGGGCAAACCTCGGACCTGACCGCCTTCCTGGACCGGCAACCCTGCTTCATGTGAGTTCTGACCTGGTTCTGCTGGGACTGATGTTACTTCCTGGTTCAGTTTGACACGTCTCCGTTTTTCTGTGTCCTCCCAGTTTGAATGAGGTGACTGATTCCCAGTTTGTGTGCAAGACCAGTTCTAGTAATTGGACCGGACCAGTTCCGGTTTGGGTCTTCTTTGGTAAAGCTAATCGGACCAGTCCTGAGCTTACCTTTCGTTACCTGGACGACCCCGTCATCACCAAAGCTACACCTGCAGAGAGTTTCTACGCGTAAGGACCAATTACTGAGCTTTGTTTGTACAATGTATTACTGTACACTCAAAATAATACACAGCAAAGTGACGGAGTATTATGCTACTGCAAACTGCTATTTTTTATAAAATGCATAACTTTCAAATTGACAGATTGTTGCTCAATGACTGTGTTCATTCTTTGTGTACCATCTTCCATTTAGCAGAGAGGGGAGCTAATATATTAAACATTACATTTATTGTCATTTTTCACTCGGATACAATATGCTAACAGATTTTACAGTCTGTAGTCCTTAAGCATAAATTAGCAGATTTAACTGCAGTAAATCTGACTTTATGTGACATATAAGCATCAACACAAAATATGGATGAACTAACCTGAAATACAGCAGCAGTTAGCTGCTAAGCTAGCATGCTAGCACAGTACAATCAGTCATTTCTCTCAGTCTCAATGTGTTGGGTAAGCTCTCATATACAAACTATCTTAGATAAAACCGAATAAAACATTAATGAATAAGCATTAATGTTTTGTAACACTATGATGTTACAATAAATAAATCATTATTTATTCTGTATTTAATGTTGGTTATGGCTGAACCAACATTTAATACATAAGCAGTTAGCTGCAACTAGCATGCTAGCGCCAGTTTGCTACCATGGTAGATTTGTTATTTCACTCTCAAAAACATCGCTTACATTAAACGGTTTGATGCAGTAACGTTACATGAGAAAAGAAAACTTTATGGGAATTATATCCATGCTGGTGGACTTTAGCAACCCGTAATTAAGTAAAAATAAGACTGAAAGTCTTTACTGCTTCGTGTGTCTGTGCCAACTGGTAAAGCAGGGCAAAAGATGCACCCAACCGTCATAGAAAGCATCGCCACCCTGTGGTGCAACTCGGTAAAACACCTCAGTTCAATAAACCGTCACCACCTTTTAGTTCTGTTAGATTATCAATAAAACAAAACAATGCGATCATATCTTGGTGCGTCACATCTCATTTTATCAATTAAAGTAATTCTGGATTTGTGTTGATGCGTATTAACGACATAATTTTGAAACTTAAAATACTAAAAATGTCTAATTGATCAAAGCTTTCTGTGCCGTTAAATGCCTGGGATCTATGGTCTTAGTTACAGTTTTGCTTCCTAATAAGGAGTTGATTTCCTGTTCTCAGGGGAGGGCGTGTCATCAAGGTGACGGGCAGGAACCTGGACGTGGTGCAGGAGCCGGTGATATCTGTGTGGGTGGAGCCTCTGGAGGTGCAGAGAGTGAAACGGAGAAGGCGATTGGCTCTCCTGACCGCCAGGCAGCACTTGGTCTTTAACGGCACCATGACGACAGTGAGATGAACCAACCAATCAGGGAGGTGCACCCTACCTACATGTTTTCACCTGCTCTCCTGTCTGTGTCTCAGGTGTCTGAGCGCTGCTCTGTCCTGTCGTCCTCTGAGATCACATGTCCGACCCCCGCGGTGCCCCCAGAGGTCAGAGTGAAGGGGGTGTGGTTTCAGCTGGACAACGTCCGGGTCCACTACGACAGCATTGAGGTGCCGTCACCGGCCTGCTCCTCACCGCCGCATCAGACCCTGCTCAGTCTGACGATGTCTCCGTCTGTCTCCGTCTGTCTCTGTCCATCAGGGTAAGAGCTTCACCTATTACCAGAACCCCCAGTTCTTTCCTCTGAACCGAGATGCTCCGGACGCTCCGTACCGCTTCAAACCCGGCGGAGTGATCGCTGTAGAGGTACAGTGACTCTCATTGGCTGGTCCAGCGGATGCAGCATGCGGTCTGATGTGTTGGCGTCCCTCAGGGTCTGGACCTGACCAGAGCCATGTCCAAGGATGAAGTCCGGGCTCGGCTTGGAGATCAAGACTGTGAGGTGAAGACTCTGGACCGAACCCACCTGTACTGCGAACCCCCGGAGAATCAGCCTCTGAGCGTGGACGGCAGCAGCGAGCTGCCCATGCTGAAGGTAACCTGAACCGAGAGAAACACTAAGAACATCCCTGGTCCAGCAGCTTGAAGAACCTCCTTCAGCATGTGCTGGTCTCCTCTGCCCAGACTGGATCAGTCCAGCAGGATCGTTCATGTTGTTAGTCTACCTGTCTGTCTCTCAGGTGTTCATGGGGAAACTGCAGGCGGACCTGGGTCTGGTCCAGTACGACAGCGACTCGTTGCTATCTCCCATCCCGCTGGTGGCTCAGATCAGTCTGGGTGCTGGAGCTGCTGTCATCATCTTGTCGGTGCTGATCGTCATCCTCATGTACAGGTACAACCCGCTGCTGCCGTGTCCCAGATTTCTCCAGAGCCGGTTGATTGGATCCGCTGACCGGCGTTCTGCTTTGTTCTCTACAGGAGGAAGAGTAAACAGGCTCTCCGAGATTATAAGAAGGTTCTGCTGCAGTTGGAAACTCTTGAGATCAACGTGGGAGATCAGTGTCGTAAGGAGTTCACGGGTGAGCAGTGATGGGCACCACTAACTCAAAAGTTAGCTTGACTATTGCTAAAGTGCTATTCATAATATCAGCTCGGCTAAACCGCAATATCAATGTTATGCTATTTAATGGGAGCTAATGCAAAAGCACAAACGTGTGCATCGTTAATTCAAAGGTTTGTTATGCCAACTTAAAAGCAATAACAATAACCAATAAGCAATAGCCAACATGGTATTTAGCAAAAGTTAATGCTAAAGAGCTTAACTGAACCACGTTAATGTGGGTTATTGCTAACTAAAAGGGCACTGCGCTAACTCTAAAGCACTAATAATAAACATTAGTCCCACTAAATCTCGATACCAACATGGTATTTTGCGTAAGCTAACTCAGTTAATTGCGGTAGCATTCTAACACTAGCAATTAATATTAATAGTGCTAAAACTCAATGCAAACATGGTATTTAGCTAAAGTTAAAGTGCTAAATTCAACCATGTTGATACCCATCATCAGTGCTGGGAACCATTAATTAAAAAGTTAGCTGCAGTAGCCTTAAAGCACTTATAAACATTAGTTCTGCTAACGTTAAAGCGCTAAATTCAACAATATTGAAATCCACAGCGTCAATTACGCAATGTGTGTTACAGGATAGAGCGCCCTCATCAGGGTCAGGTCTGTCATTACACACCTACCTGCATGGGTTGCGTTTCAGGAAGCGACTCTTTGGAAACATTCACTCAGTTTCAGTTTTAATGTTGAGTTTTGCTAACTCTGATTTAGCCTAACTGAGCACGTAAGTCAGAAAGGAAGCAAGAGATCAAGAGACTTTAAACTGTTTAATGTACAGTGATGCATTGTGGGTACACACTAATCATCATTTACTACACTACCTTATGAATGGACTAAAGATGGGCTAAACATTTTCAAAGTTAGCAAAGATGCTAAAGTGCTAAGCTAACAGTTAGCGCTGCTGTTAGCAGATTAGCAGAAGTGTGTCCTCTATGGCTACCAGGTTGTGGTCTGCTGACATCCTGAGCATCCCACTGATCGACCTGTTGTTCTTCCCGTCCTGCAGACCTGATGACAGAAATGATGGACCTCAGCAGCGACGTGGGAGGACCGGGTCTTCCTCTGCTCGACTACAAGACCTACGCAGAGAGGATCTTCTTCCCCGGCCAGCAGACGGCGCTGCTGAGCCGGCAGTTGGACCTGCCGGAGTCCAGGAGGCCGACGGTGGAACAGGGCCTCCAGCAGCTCAACAACCTGCTCAACAACAGACTCTTCCTCACCAGGGTGGGTCCTGCTCAGGTGAGGCGGGTCCACGTGAGTGGGCCGCTGGTGCTGACGCTGTGGTTCTGTTCGGCAGTTCATCCACACGCTGGAGGCCCAGCAGGGCTTCTCCCAGCGGGACCGCGGCTACGTGGCCAGTCTGCTCACCATCGCATTGCACGACAAGCTGGAGTACTTCACTGAGGTCATGAAGACGCTGCTGCAGGACCTGGTGCAGCAGTACGTCGCCAAGAACCCCAAACTAATGCTGCGCCGGTAAGGAAAACAAACGCACCTCAGATGCTGCTGAACCAGAACCAGAACACCCGGACTGCTGAGGGTCCAACCAGAACCTGGACTGACCTCTGGCTCCTCTCTCTTTCAGGACGGAGACGGTTGTTGAGAAGATGTTGACCAACTGGATGTCCATCTGCCTCTATTCTTTCCTGAAGGTAGCGGTTTCTGTCCATACCTGTCTCTCCTCACCTGCCCCTTCCCCTGTCTCACCTTCACCTGTCTGTCTGACAGGAAGTGGCCGGGGAGCCGCTCTACATGCTCTACCGGGCCATAAAGTACCAGGTGGACAAGGGTCCGGTGGACGCTGTGACGGGGAAGGCCAAGCGGACGCTCAACGACAGCCATCTGCTGCGAGAGGACATCGATTACTCTGCCATGGTAACCATAGCAACAGGACTACCTCCCGCGCTCAAACCTGGTTTGGCCTGACCTGTCTGTCTCACCTGTTCCTCAGACTCTGAACGTCCTGGTGAAGAACGGAGTCGAGGTTCAGCCGTGTCCCATTAAAGTTCTCGACACCGACACCATCACCCAGGTAGGGACACGTTGGACAGGCCCCTGGTCACCTGTCGCTCTGCTGCTCAACGGCCAGTGTGCTTCTGTGTCCAGGTGAAAGATAAGATCCTGGATCAGGTCTACAGAGGAGCTCCGTTCTCTCAGAGACCAGCAGCTGACAGTCTGGACCTGGGTACGCACTAGTCGTCCTCACCTGTTTCACCTCTCCTCAGTCTGACAGGCAGCCGGTTCTCACTTGTGTACGTTTGTCTGCAGAGTGGCGTTCAGGTCAGGCAGGTCACCTGACTCTGTCAGACGATGATGTCACAGCAGTAGTTCACGGTCGCTGGAAAAGGCTCAACACGCTGCAGCATTACAAGGTGCGAACTGACCCATCAAAGCGAGTCTCCACCTTCCTGTCTCACTGCTGCTCATTTTTACGTCACATTCTCCGTTCCTCAGGTTCCAGATGGTGCCACAGTCGCACTGATCCCTCGATTTCTCAGTTCAGGGGTCAACCAGGTGTTTCAAACCGGAGAAAGTAAGAACCAACATACCTCAGCCACCAGAATCACACAGGAAATCTGTTGACAACCCGAAGCCTTGACCACAACCCAGACTGTTGACCACAACCCAGACTGTTGACCACAACCCAGACCGTTGACCACAACCCAGACTGTTGACCACAACCCAGACCGTTGACCACAACCCAGACTGTTGACCACAACCCAAGCCGTTGACCA